TTGATTGAGAAGTCTGATCGAAAAAGTACGAATTGTTTTGGATTCTACGCACCAAAATTAATAAGAAAAAGTGTTTTCCCGAGAAATTTTGGTGTAGTCGATTTTTGGTAAAAAAGGAAGGTTTATACACTGCCTTTTTTTGAGCCCCGAGAAAAAAATTGTCTCAGAATTTTCTTATAGAATGTGGCCTGTAGAATCCATAATTTCAAACAGTTCCAAGATTGGGCTACTAGTTCAAAAGTTACAGCCCTTTGAATTTTCTTTCGAAATTGGTTTCTAGTCTATAACTTTTGATTGAGAAGTCTGATCGAAAAAGTACGAATTGTTTTGGATTCTACGCACCAAAATTAATAAGAAAAAGTGTTTTCCCGAGAAATTTTGGTGCAGTCGATTTTTGGTAAAAAAGGAAGGTTATACACTGCCTTTTTTTGAGGCCCGAAAAAAAAATTGTCAGATCGACCCGGAAAAAAAATTTTCTTATAGAATGTGGCCTGTAGAATCCATAATTTCAAACAGTTCCAAGATTGGGCTACTAGTTCAAAGGTTACAGCCCTTTGAATTTTCTTTCGAAATTGATTTCTAGTCTATAACTTTTGATTGAGAAGTCTGATCGAAAAAGTACGAATTGTTACACTTGCTTTTTTTGAGGCCGGAAAAAAATTGTCTGAGATCGAGCGGGAAAAACATTTTCTTATAGAATTTGGCCTGTAGAAACACCCCGTAGTGTATACATACTGATCCTTTGATCATTTGAAAAAGTATGTACTGCGATTAACGTACCAACCTGTCTTCTCTATTTCCCAATTAGTCGCATTTAGATTGCAGAGACTGCGTGGTTTAACTTGTTTTATTTGTTTTTAAACTCTTTTGACCTTGCGGCAACGATTATATTATTTTGCGAAAGTAACAATCAGTAATTTAACTTTTCCCCCTGGCAGGTATAAGTTGCTCGAAGAATTTCATAGCAAGGATTGGCAAAGAAAATGAATGTGTAAGATTACCTAGGTATCAAGTTTTATTTGTCCAAACAAATCACAATTACATATTGTTGCAGTTGCAGGAATCTACGCACTTTTAAGAATTTATTTGGGGCGCATCTCGGCGATCACATTCTAATATGAAGGCGACGTTGAGCAAAATTCAGGTGAAGAACTGCACCAAGCCAGGAAAACCGAAACTAAAATTATACAAAAGATATAAACCACAAAATACGTCGCGATTTTCTCACTTGAAGTTTTTCTATTTCCAGCCATTTTGGGAAAGCAGAACGGCGGTTGAGGATCGTATTTTAATAGTCCTTTTTCTTCCAAACGTGAGCCCAAAATCCTAGCTCGTACTCGTTTTCACCACGGTCAAGGCACGCCTGTGAGTATGTCGTGGGATAAACGCACACGGCCGTAGCTTTTAGTTCGGGACGAAACCATCCCGCGTTAACCGAAATGTTATTTTTAAGTCCCCAAGATACTATCTTATCCAAGCAGGAACACTGCCACGGATTACGGTACACCTCAAATGATTTTAAACTGGGTCGCAACGTCTCTAACATCCTGTCCGATATGTACGTTATATTATTAAACATTATGTAAAGTTCGGCCAGTTTGGAAGGTCTGTGGAGATTGAGCTCGATGCTTCTAAGCCTGTTGTCCTCGAAAGTCATTTTTTCCAAATTTCGCAATCCTTTAAACGCGTCTGGATCGATGTACTCGAGCAGATTTTGGGCGAACAGGAGAAACTTCAAGTTTGGAAGGTTGATAAAGGCACCCCTCGTGATTTCGCGTAACTGATTGTACCCAAAATATAATCGTTCCACATTGGGTGTTGCAGAGAACCAATCTTGATCAAAACGGTCCAACTTGTTACCGGTAAACGCGATGTACCTTAACTTTGGAAGATTGTTGAAAGCCTGCTGCCACACCACCGTAATTTTATTATCACTTAATAACACTTCGCTTAATGATGGCAAATCCTTAAACGAATTTTTAGCAATCCACGTAATTTCGTTGTATCGCAAGTTGATGTAATAGAGCCCGGGAAGATTTAAGAACGCCCCTTCCCTTATGAACTCGATACGATTATTCCTTAAATCCAAGCGAAAATTGCTCGAAATATTTTGTACTGCGCCATAATTTAAATCGAGTATATTGTCTTGATTATTAATGGCTATTGCTGTAATTTGGCCTTTAAAGGTTATTGTCTCTGGTGAGAGGCATCCATTTATGGTTTCCTTGACGTTGTTTATCCTTATTACTGTGTCGTCGAACGTGGAGATTGTACATTGTAGCGAAACACCTCTGATTATGAGAATGAGCAAAAGTATCGAACACGTCTTCATCATTGCGAATCATGACCCAACACACCCGAAATTTCTTGCATTTAGTTCTATGCACCACAAAAGTCTATTTGGACTATAATTATAAAACAGCGACGCGACGAAAGGTGAAGAAGTTGCCGTGAGGCAAACTAACTAGAATCTGCGTCATTCACCTTCACAATGTTGGTATTTACCATTGGCATCGGTACCGGGTGAAGAGGAGGGAAGTGATTATACAAAATTACCGTACAACTAAAATTATAAATAATTAATGAATGTACCTACCTTAAACGACCTCGATTGTAATCTGTTTTGCTCGTTGTACCATGAGGTACTCATCAGATCTTCAGTTTGTCGCGACAACGACGTAAAAAATTTCAGTAACGAATTACCTTATCATCGTTTTTGGATGGTACGAAGAAATTGACCATCATCGGTCGTTTTCTAAAGAACGCAAATATCTATAGCTATTTGGAGATGTGGAAATTTCAAAGAATGGTTATACGCGAGTGGAGTTCTATGAAAAAAAATGTATAATTGTTGATGTTATTAAAAGATGCTACTCAGAACATTGGTTTTTATGTGTGGTTTTGCCTATTTTGCCTCATGCCTTAAACATACTGCTTTGGAGTAGGCCTTGCCTGAGCAAACCTAATATAAATTTCCTTTAATTTGATAGTAATTTAGAATTTTTGAGCCTGCGGCATTCTTAGTGGTTTCCATACAGCTTAAAAATTTAGTTGGGTATTTCATATGAGATAAGCCAAATTGACTTATAATGACCAAAATGTAATTTATAACATTCCAAAGTGCATCTGGACTATAACTCTGACACAGACTGTTCATTTAATTTTGTGGCAGAGGTACTGGAAGAGTTCTAATTAAATTGACGTCCAGCAACGCATTGAATAGAATCCAAATTTGTAACTGCCCTGCCTACTCGGCAGTCGTTATATCGTTTTTAAGGAACTTTCTTTTTCTTTATCCTTTTTTAGCATTTAATCATGAGGACAACTAACTAGGTACTACTTGACACCCACACAATGATAACTAAAAATAGTACATTATATACTAAGGCAGAGAAGTCCAGTATTATTGCCTGAGCACCATTTCGAGGCGCTTGCCATGGTATATTACAATTTTTTCACTACTAGCACATGAAGTCATCTAAATTATTGTTATGCAAAGAAGAACGAAGGAAAACTTATAAGACAATCTGACGTCCACCAACACCACACTAGACGAAAAGATATCGTTAGACGTCCATGTTCTCGCCTCGCTGTAACACAAAACGGTGTACCTAAGTACCTTATAAATCAAAGTGCTTATTCAATACTGTGCCCCCAAATGTCAGACAATAGCCGTCTAATAATTTCAGACACAAGTTAAAATCATTTTTAGTGACACATGTGTTTTATTCGCTTGAAGAATTCGTTGAGTCTAGTCACCTGATCCCTTAAATTTTACATTTTGCGTTTTTTTATAATCGTGTCATTTTAATTCTACATGTGTCTTGTCTTATGTATAAGTGTACAGTGTCTTATATTATTTATGTTAAATTTATATACAAACCCTGACAAGTGTAAATTGTACGGTCGATCTCAGACAATTTTTTTTCCGACCCAAAAAGAACCAAGTGTATAACCTTCCTTTTTTACGAAAAATCGACTGCACCAAAATTTCTCGGGAAAATACGTTTGGTTATTAATTTTGGTGCGTAGAATCCAAAACAATAAATAGTTATGGACAAAAAACAAATTTCGAAAAAAAATTCGAAGGGCTGTAACTTTTGATCTTGTAGCCCAATCTTCAAACTGGATTCTACGGGCCAAATTCTATAGGAAAATGTTTTTTCCCGGTCGATCTCAGACAATTCTTTTTTCCGGCCTCAAAAAAAAGGCAGTGTATAACCTTCCTTTTTTACCAAAACTCGTCTACACCAAAATTTCACGGAAAAACAATTTTTCTTATTAATTTTGGTGCGTAGAATCCAAAACAATTCGTACTTTTTCGATCAGACTTCTCAATAAAAAGTTATAGACTAGAAACCAATTTCGAAAGAAAATTTAAAGGGCTGTAACTTTTGAACTAGTAGCCCAATCTTGGAACTGTTTGAAATTATGGATTCTACAGGCCACATTCTATAAGAAAATTTTTTTTCCGGGTCGATCTGAGACAATTTTTTTTTCGGGGCTCAAAAAAAGGCAGTGTAAACCTTCCTTTTTTACCAAAAATCGACTGCACCAAAATTTCTCGGGAAAACACTTTTTCTTATTAATTTTGGTGCGTAGAATCCAAAACAATTCGTACTTTTTCGATCAGACTTCTCAATCAAAAATTATAGACTAGAAACCAATTTCGAAAGAAAATTCAAAGGGCTGTAACTTTTGAACTAGTAGCCCAATCTTGGAACTGTTTGAAACTATTATAACCTTCCTTTTTGAATCGCAACAAAGATTCCAAGCAGAAGAGTTTTTATTATCAGAATCTTGCCCCCAAGATATGTGACTCGCCCCTCGTTCGGGGTTTCCAGCCTACAGTTGAATGTGGACCACAATCACGGAATTAGGTGTCACTACTCATTGTCGTAAGGTTGAATATACAGGGTGGAACCTCTCAAGGTAGTTAACTTGTGCTTAATAGTTTGTGATTTTGGATATGCGTATGTTAATATGAATTCAATACTTTGTATCGTGTATGCATTTATTTTTGTTTAAGTAGTTCAAAGTAGTTTCTGATACATTACGAACTATTTTCGTATGCTATGTAAACAAGAAGTAACTACTACTAACTAAAACTATTGTCACAATACTACGCTCCTAAGAGTTGTTAGATAAATTCTATACCTTCGAATTTTAGGTCAGATATTAAGGTATCCTGTAGGAGAACCTTTCCTTCTATTGTAAATGCGGTGATGTACGTCGCCGTTTTATCGCCCACTTCAACACTGCGAAGGGCTACAATGACTGTATCACCCGATGTCGGTATGAATTTGAAAGAAGAGAATCCTCGCGAACCATCCACACTAGGTATCTAAAGCGAAATAGAAATAGTATAAATGGAGCAGCAGAAATTCCTATAGAAGCACCTGCACTGCGCGAATACCGTTTATATCGGCATCTGCACTGAGTAAATAAGAACACCCCAAGTACGCATCCGCCGTGTAGTTGTACTTTTCTGTACTGCACTTCCGCGGTAAAAAGAACCATTTTTGATGTACCTCAGACCAGACGCCACTTTCATGTGTCATATATCCAGGCCAGTAAATGTCAATAGCGGCTCTTAGGCGCAGATACTGATCCTTCCAGTCGATATGCGATATCTAACAAAACCGAATTTCAATTGCCGACCTTCGTTAATAAGATCATCACTTACGACACCTTCAGGGGTTATCGTTTTTATGTAAAGTGGGTCATTATTTACAAACTCTCCCTCATACGTTATGACCTCTTTACCTATAGATCCAACGTACAACAGCCTATCTTTAACGGTAGCCCACTCGGATTTAAATCCTTTGGTAGTTCTGCCGTTTCCGTCCATTAACAGCACCCATGGTATAGCCTCAGTGTTAACAATTTCAAATACCACGCCTGTACGATCGTCAACGGCCAGCAATTTTCCATCGTACGTAACCAGTTCCGAAAGCTCCATACTTCGGTCTTTGATCGCGTAGTTAGTCTTCAGTGTGATGGGGTCCGTGCGATCCCAGTTCACTACTATGGTGTCTCTTCCCGGAAGATACCTTAAGTAGCCTTTCTTTAAATACGAAATCCACGTGGTTTCTTCTGTTGGACTTTTTGAGATAGAGTCTAAGTCTGCTATGATGGCTGCAAATTGGAGGTGAAGCATTTAAGTTGCAATGGCCGTACTTACCTATACGAAAAGTGTGCATGTTACGAGTTTTGAAAGGGGTTGTCAAAGGATATTTATCGTTATAACCCTCCGAAAAACGTACGGCAAATAGGACAAGTCCAAGTAACGCCAGCCCTATTACAATCAACATTTAAACATAGCTTTAGTTGTTATTTGAATATACCTAAGGGCGGTTTGAACAGTTTGCCTTTCATAGCCCACATCTTACTCTCTTGACTGACCTAAACTCAATACACTATCTATGTTGTTTACGATTATATAATCGTCCTATTTGCACTTTGTAATGTCGTCCACGTGCCAAAGTGTATTTGGTTCATCAGTGTGTCCAAATCATAAAACGTGCAATTCCATCATATAACCTCACTGGTGTTGGGAATAGGCTTTCATACCCGCGTGGAAACTTAAGGCGACGTTCTGTTGACAGAGGCAACTCAAATTTAAATATTGGACATTCTTCTTTAAATTTAAATAGACCGAGAGATATACCTACAGCTTTGATGATAGCAGTCAAAGAGCAATGGGACTGTAAGTTCTTTATTTACTGGTTTCCTATTTAGTCTCTGGCTTCTACTCGAGCTTGACTGAATATTTAGACAAAATGTTTGTTTCTTCCTGAGATAACTGCCCGACAATGAATGAAGTTCATCTAATTTTTCATGTGATTATGTGGTTAAAAGGTTTTACATTCAGTGATATTCATGTATAAGTAGACAGGGATTTTCTATGTCTACTTCTAAATGATAAAAAGTCTTCTAAAGAGCGCCTAATTTTATGCAACCAAAGTACCTACCTACAACAAATAAGGATCTGCCTGTCATATTAATTAATTTAAATATCGGTTTGACTTCCATTATTCTAATTGCGATTCGTGTGCGATGTATTCAACTTAAAGAAAAAGTTGATATTTGCAATTGGTATAGTGCCGATTTCTATGAAGCCAAAGCAACAAATTCAAATTAATAATTAATATGGCAGCCAGATCTTTATTTGCTTCAAGAAGTTACTTTGGTTGCATAAAATTAGGCGTCTTTTATCATGTAAAAGTAGACATAGGAAATTCCTATAGGAAACCCGTCTACTTCTACGTGAATATCAAATATCACTGTTATACTGAATACATTCCACTTTGATTTAGTACTATATCAGGGATCATTTTTGTACTAAAGCATACAGATATTGATTTCATATCAATACAATAACCGACTCATACGCCTAGCCTTAAAGAAAAGTAAGAAACAAGTAGATAATACCTATACTTCCATTTAACGAGATACCACTTTCAATATGAAGATATACAACAACTATAAGTCAAAATCAAAATTCCTGTAACATCCTTTTACTGGTTTAGTTAGTTAGTCCAGACAAGGACAACACGAATAAAAAGTTCAACTAGTGGTAATTGAATTTTTGTCAGGGATTTTATGGTTCTAAACAGTCTAACTGAAAATTTCGCGAAGCAAAGAACATTAAAAATAGTTCTTAACATTTTAGTATTACTAAACTTGTTTATCGGCCACCCACAGAAAGGAGACCAAGACACCAGCCACCTCACCAAGCGTTTATTGTTAATGCTGTAAAGAGAAAATAAATAAAGGCGACATTTAAAGGAAGGAAATTTGTAATATGGTGGAAATTTACACGGAATTCGAGGCGACAAGACATATGATAACTGATGAAGAACAGTGGCTTGAAAATAAAGTAATATTATACAGCAAGGCGAGAGGAGAGGAAAAAGACGATATTAGAATGAACATGGGAAGACGACACCCTTAAGGAAAGGATCCATAGGCTAGAAACACATAGGAGGTTCAAGTTCCTTTTGGTTTTATAATTACGAATTTTATTAGAAAATAGACTCATATGTAAAGTAATCCTCGATTGCGGGGGTTGTAATTTTTGTAGTACATCAAACATTTGTACTTCGTTAACCGATTATGAATAAATGATCCACAAACAACCCTTTAATTGTTCTTTAAGGTTAAAGTTCCCTTTGGTTTTACAATTACGAATTTTATTAGAAAATTCAGACGCATACGTATGACAATCCTCGATTGTAGGGGTTGTAAATTTTTAAGTACATCAAATATTTGTATTTCGTTATTCGATTATCTATAAATAGTCCATAAGCAACGCTTCAATTGCTCTTTAAGGTTAAGGTTCCTTTTGGTTTTAAAATTACGAATTTTATTAGAAAATTAAGACCCATACCCATACCCATAATAATCCTCGATTGCAGGAGTTGTAATTTTTGAAGTACTTACATCAAATATTTGTATTTAGTTATTCGATTATGTATAAATGATCCATAAGCAACCCTCCAATTGCACCCTTAGAATAAAGTTCCTTTTCGTTTTAAAATTTTGAATTTTTTTTAGAAAATTCAGACTCATATGTAAAGTAATCCTCGATTGCGGAGGTTGTAATTTTTGTAGTACATCAAACATTTGTACTTCGTTAACCGATTATGAATAAATGATCCACAAACAACCCTTTAATTGTTTATGTATAAATGACCCATAAGCAACCCTTAAATTGCTCTCTAAGGTTAAAATTCCTTTTGGGTTTAAAATTATGAATTTTATTAGAAAATTCAGACCCATACGTAAAGTAATCCTCGATTTCGGGGGTTGTAATTTTTGTAGTACATCAAATATTTGTATTTTATTATTCTATTATGTATAAATGACCCATAAGCAACCCTTAAATTGCTCTCTAAGGTTAAAGTTCCCTTTGGGTTTAAAATTTACGAATTTTATTAGAAAATTCACTCATATGTAAAGTAATCCTCGATTACAAGGGTTGTAATTTTTGAAATACATCAAATATTTGTATTTCGTTATTCGATTATGTATAAATGATCCATAAGCAACCCTTCAATTGCTCTTTAAGGTTAAAGTTCCTTTTGGTTTTAAAATTACGAATTTTATTTGAAAATTCAGACTCATATGTAAAGCAATCCTCGATTGAGGGGGTTGCAATTTTTGAAGTACATCAAATATTTGTATTTCGTTATTCGATTATGTATAAATGATCCATAAGCAACCCTTCAATTGCTCTTTAAGGTTAAAGTTCCTTTTGGTTTTAAAATTACGAATTTTATTAGAAAATTCACTCATATGTAAAGTAATCCTCGATTACAAGGGTTGTAATTTTTGAAATACATCAAATATTTGTATTTCGTTATTCCATTATGTATAAATGATCCATAAGCAACCCTTCAATTGCTCTTTAAGGTTAAAGTTCCTTTTGGTTTTAAAATTACGAATTTTATTTGAAAATTCAGACTCATATGTAAAGCAATCCTCGATTGAGGGGGTTGCAATTTTTGAAGTACATCAAATATTTGTATTTCGTTATTCGATTATGTATAAATGATCCATAAGCAACCCTCCAATTGCACCCTTAGAATAAAGTTCCTTTTCGTTTTAAAATTTTGAATTTTTTTAGAAAATTCAGACTTATGTAGAGTAATCCTCGATTGCAGGGGTTGTAATTTTTTAAGTACATCAAATATTTGTATTTCGTTAATCGAATATCTATAAATGATCCATAAGCAACCCTTCAATTGCTCTTTAAGGTTAAAGTTCCCTTTGTTTTTACAATTACGAATTTTATTAGAACATTCACTCATATGTAAAGTAATCCTCGATTACAAGGGTTGTAATTTTTGAAATACATCAAATATTTGTATTTCGTTATTCCATTATGTATAAATGATCCATAAGCAACCCTTCAATTGCTCTTTAAGGTTAAAGTTCCCTTTGGTTTTACAATTACGAATTTTATTAGAATGTTCAGACTCATATGTAAAGCAATCCTCGATTACAAGGGTTGTAATTTTTGAAATACATCAAATATTTGTATTTCGTTATTCCATTATGTATAAATGATCCATAAGCAACCCTTCAATTGCTCTTTAAGGTTAAAGTTCCCTTTGTTTTTACAATTACGAATTTTATTAGAAAATTCACTCATATGTAAAGTAATCCTCGATTACAAGGGTTGTAATTTTTGAAATACATCAAATATTTGTATTTCGTTATTCGATTATGTATAAATGAATCCATAAGCAACCCTTCAATTGCTCTTTAAGGTTAAAGTTCCCTTTGGTTTTACAATTACGAATTTTACTAGAAAATTCAGACTCATATGTAAAGCAATCCTCGATTGCGGGGGTTGTAATTTTTGAAGTACATCAAATATTTGTATTTCGTTATTCGATTATGTATAAATGATCCATAAGCAACCCTTCAATTGCTCTTTAAGGTTAAAGTTCCCTTTGGTTTACAATTACGAATTTTACTAGAAAATTCAGACTCATATGTGAAGCTGTCCTCGATTGCGGGGGTTGTAATTTTTGAAGTACATCAAATATTGTATTTCGTTATTCGATTATGTATAAATAATCCATAAGCAACCCTTCAATTGCTCTTTAAGGTTAAAGTTCCCTTTGGTTTTACAATTACGAATTTTATTAGAAATTTAGACTCATATGTAAAGCAATCCTCGATTGCGGGGTTGTAATTTTTGAAGTACATCAAATATTTGTATTTCGTTATTCGATTATGTATAAATGATCCATAAGCAACCCTTCAATTGCTCTTTAAGGTTAAAGTTCCCTTTGGTTTTACAATTACGAATTTTACTAGAAAATTCAGACTCATTGTAAAGCAATCCTCGATTGCGGGGGTTGTAATTTTTGAAGTACATCAAATATTTGTATTTCGTTATTCGATTATGTATAAATAATCCATAAGCAACCCTTCAATTGCTCTTTAAGGTTAAAGCTCCCTTTGGTTTTACAATTACGAATTTTACTAGAAAATTCAGACTCATTGTAAAGCAATCCTCGATTGCGGGGGTTGTAATTTTGGAAGTACATCAAATATTTGTATTTCGTTAATTGATTATGTATAAATGGTCTATAAGCAACCCTTCAATTGCTCTCTAAAATTAATGTTCCTTTTTGTTTTATTATTAACGATAACGACGTACCTATCCCAAGAGAGTTTCCACAGGCGTCAATACTGTGCTCGTTATTGTTTTTAATCTAGGTACATCAATGACATGCTTTAGATTTGCCAAATAAGGTACAGTGGTATACTGTATGCTGATGACGCTACACTAATTTCTATTGACGATGACTACCATAACGCTCATGAGATCCTAAGCATCGGAATCTCAACCGTAGACAAATGGTGTAGCCTGTACCTACTGTAAATGATATAAAATTAAACAAAAGGATATAAACATCACCGCCACCAATCCTAAAGCACGGGCATCGAGTTTAATGACACGACGCGCGTAGC